CACTCCCTGCACTTGGCTGGGGTAGCTGACTAATTTGTTCTGTCCTCCGTCTTCTAGTCTGGTACCAGGTGTCCTCTGCAGACTCCAATGTACTGCCATATCCTCCATGTGCACCTGGATGTGCTGTCCACTGCTCCGTCTAAGCCACTGAGGAGGCTCAGCTTTGACACATGCACTCCATGGTCAGACCATGGAACCTGCAATTCTCTCCATGGTTGGGGTTCTGAGTCCAGCAGTTCAGTTGAGGGGAATCCCCAAAGAAACGTCATCTGAGGTGATCCAGACCCGATTCTTGCATGTGCTTGCCAATACAGGGTCCGGCACAGTCTGTTGCCCCAGTCAGCTTATGTATATGCTGGTGGTAGCAATTGCTGTGTCAGTTCTGTCTCCAACCCTGTCTTCTACACAATCCAGTGGGTGTTGCAGCCAGCCCAATCCTGCCCACCACACACTCAGCCCTCATGCAAACCAGTGGGAGCTGTAGCCTAGTCAAAGTGACCCACAATAACCCCCACCAGGCCAGTCCCCTGCACTGGTTGCCAGTATGTACAGCAGACTGGTCCAACCTGTCCCACATCCCATTCAGCTCTCATACATGTCAATGAGGCTTAAAGCCTAGTTCAACCCAACCAGCCCCACTATCCAGCCCATACACATGCTGGTGGGTGCCACTCTCTGTCTAGCCATGCCTGCCCCAGTCCTGGTTCTCATGCTTGTCAGCTGGAGTGGCAACCCAAGAGGGAGGTGCTCACTCTTTCCCTACTGAGTCCACTCCCACTCCTGGATCCTGCACTCTCCAGATGGTTCTGCAGTTAAACAGAATTTGCGCCTCCTGCCAGCAGCTGATGCTGCAGTAAAGCCCAGCCAACCCACCCTCACTCTGACTTATGCATGAACCAGTAGGGACAGTCATCCCAGCCTGACTTTCTCCTGTCCCAACTCATATGAGTCCAACAGGTGTTGTAACCTTGCCCAGTCTGGTCTGTCCCCGTCCAAACTCACACTCTCAAGTGGGAGTTGTGGTCCAGCAGGGGAGCCTCATGCAGCGCCCCCTCTGGGTTCGCCCCTTCCCCACTGTGTCTCATGTGGTGATTGGATGAGCCTGACTGGGCCCATCCCAACCCCAGTTCCAGCTCATGCTGGTTGGGGCTACAGCCTAGCCAGCCCAGCTGGCCCCCAGTCCTGGCCCTCATATGAACTGGCTTGTGTTGTCACCCAACACTCCATTCTGGCATTTGGATTCACTAGTGGGTGATATGAACTGGCCCAGTCTAATTCATCCCTGATAGGCTCCAAATGTTTGCCAGTGGGCACCATTCCCTGGCTTGGTCTGGGCTGCTCCCTATCATGGTTCTTGCACTAACCTGCAGTGACTGTGTCCCGACACGGAAGTTCCCCAAAGCTAATCCATCACAACCTCTTCCAATGCCAGATCTCGCGCACACCACTGGGTCCATGGGCCAGCCCTACTTGGTCCACCTTCTGTCCTAGCAGGAACAGTGACCTTTCCTGACTGGACTTCACCCATTCCGGATCTTACTGTTGGGTGTTACAGTCCCTCCTGTCACAGTCCCTCCTGTCTTTGCCTTGGGACGCTCTAGCCTGGCCTGACCAGGCCAGCCCCCAGTCCCATCTCTTGCTGGTGGCTACTACAGCCTGGCCCTGCTCAGTCTGCTTATATCCCTGGCTCATGCAAACCATTAGATGTAACAGCGTAGTTTAGTATTACCTACATGCACTGCAGCCTGGTTTCTGCACTTGCTGGTGAGCTAAGGTTTGCTCAGCCCTACTTGGCCCACCCCTTCCAAAACCAACCCACACATTTGCCATCAGTTGGAGCTACCTTGCCCAGCTTGCCCGACCCCAGGCCTGGACCACATGCTCACCAGCAGGAGCTATGAACCACAAGAGGAATTTGCCAAGTTACCCTTACTCTGCCCCACTGCCAGATCCAGATCTTACACGTTGCAGCAGGTGCTAGGTCCTTGCCTAGCATAGCCAGGCCCTCCATCTTGGCTTTTGTATGGGCTGGTGAATGTTGCAGCCTGGCCTGCCTCACACCCTGTTTAGGATGCATGTAGGTGCTGCAGCCTGAACATGCCCAGACTATTCTTGGTCCCTGAACCCTTAAGTATTGGCAGGTTTCAAGGTTAGAGCTAGCTCAGCCCATCACCACCCCCAAACACTTGAGCTCACCAGCAGGACTTGTATTTCCATAGGGTTGGGCCTACATATTCCCCACAGAATCTCCCCCCAGACACGGTGCTCACATGTACTAGTTAGTGTCATGGCCCTGCTTAATGTGACCCGTTTCCTGTCCTGTTGCAACATTCAGTCAGGTACTAGGATCTAGTGCTGCTAGACAGGCACCACCCATGCTCTAGCTTTTGCGTAGCCTGGTGTGTGGTTGTCAGCCATGTTCCATGCTCAGGACTCTAATGTGGGTTGGTGCATGAGTCTGACCCATACAGATCTTCTCGTCTCTCCCCTCTAAACCACCAGGTCTCAGTCCCCTTGCTTACCTGCAAGTACAGTGGCCCTGTCATTGGGTGTCCCTCAGGATTCATTCCTCACCTACATGTACCATGGCCTTATTCATGGATGTCCCTGGGCAGTAAGTCCACACCCCAAGACCCCAGAGCTTGTAGCTGTGCGATGAGTGGGGAGAGCCCAGTGCCAGTTTGCGCTCTGATGGGCCGCAAGCCCAGGATTTGCCCACCACTTGGTAGCGTTGCACAGAGAGCTAGGATTTCTAGCAGGGAGTCTGACCGGACATGGGTTCTCCCAGCCTCAAAGCCTGGGAGAATAAGGTACCCACACCTCTGAGCCGACTTACCTGGACTCCACCCACCAACGTGGCGGCAGTGGGCAGAGCCATGAGCCTGGGCACTCCCAGAGACCCGACAGGAAATTCTCAGACCTAGGGCCTGAACAAGCCCAGGATTTGCCTGTGGTGGACAGGGAGCTAGGAAGATATAGACCTTTTATTATGTTTTAGTGCCTTAGAAATGATAAAGATATTTTTCTATGATGATCATCTGTGGTTCAGTTTGGATATATTAGAGTGATGATGGGAGCTGAGAACTGAAGGATGAAGTAAAAAAAAAAAAAAGCAAACAACAGCAACTAGGTATTTTGTTTGAAAAAAATAAGGAGAATTAAAAATAATCTGGCTTCTACTGGGGAAGTAGTATTCATGTCAACAGGAGCGAGTTATATGACCCTAAATTTAGTGTGGATATGCCTTTGTTTCCATCTGTGAATAAATAATGGGGAAGGCACAAACAGGTGCTTTCTGCCCTCTGGTGGGAGGAAGAGCTGCTTGCAAAGGGACAGGACAGTGGAACTTAGTGATGCAGATTTGGTGGCTGGTACAGGACTTGCTGTTCAAGACTTAGGCTTTCGTCTGTTTGTTCTCCTGTTTTTCAGGAGAAATAAAATAATTCTAAGTCTTACATATTATATATTTCTAATAAGCATTTAAATGTACTTTAGCAAACAATCTTGAATTACCACACTCCATATTCTGAGTTTCAAATAATTCAAAGATGATTCAGGTATCAGACCTTACCCAGACTGACCTGCTTTTTCTGCTGTATTACCATAGGCCCCGGAGATCCCAACTTAATTATGGAGAAATTTCAGCAGGCCTCATTTCTAGCTAGTCACTGAGACATTTGCAGGATTCCAAAGCACTGTTTTGATTCTATACCTCTTATTTGCCTTTTCCTGAAGCAGAAAAGTGGACTTCACTTAAACTTTAGCCCATAAGTTCGTTCTTTCAGTGTTGTCTCCTGTGCCTTCATTTGGGTGGCTTTTATATGTTGTCTAGTTTATGTAATTAATTGTAATTATCTAAAGTAACAGAAATGAATCCTTCAGATGGAAGAATTAGTAATTAAAGCAAACCCAGTTTCTATAGGCTTAGAACATCTCAAGAGATGGGACATGTTTTGGCCTTGTGAATTTTTCTAAGTTGAAAGGGAGCTTGTGTGTTTTGCTGAGAGTTATCAACGATGAGAATGCCAAGGGGGAAAAAGCAGATACAAAGGTACAGACCACACCATGAAGCAATTTCTCAGACTTATGAAAGAGTTTGGATGCCTTTTCAAATTTGACCATTAAAAAGTTTTAGGCAGTGATAGCAAATCACCAAATATATCAAAATATGAATCAATTAATAAAAATGGTAAAACGGGAGACCTCCAGGCTCATTTACAGATTCACTAGATTCAAATTCAGTTAGTCTCAGGTACTATCTGGACATCTTTAGTTTCATCAAACTCTACATGACTTTGATTCCCGCCAATGTTAGAGAACCATTGATGGTAGTTTCCTAGTTTCTTCTTCTAGTCTCCTGAGTGTTCGTTATTCCCTGACTTCTCAGCTGCCCTTTTAACATTCAAACTTTATTTTTTCAAGTTCTAGGTAGCAACATTACCATGAAATAAATTTACCTGATTTTGATGGTGTGAGAGAAATAGGAGTAAAATATTACAGAAAATAGGGAATTTCACATAGAAACTGTGTCTACATAGTTTTAATGTGAAATGTGGGCTTAACAATGGGTAGTAAACAATGTTTTAAAAACACATAAGCCTGTTATTTCAAACCAATACTGTTTTCTATGATTTGGCTTTTACTGAAGTCACATTTCTTCTAAATTATTTAATGTTTTATGTTTCTGACTTGCCTTCAAGGTATGTATATAAGGACCTACCTCCAAAAAGATACTTATGCAACAGCATTATATCTCAATGGGAAATAAGTGACAAGCTTGGCAATTGTGATCTTCAGGAATCTAATTCTATAGAGTATCTAAAAATCCAAGACAAGTTGGAAAAGCAACGAGAACATCAAGGAATTTATCAGGGAAGGAATGATTACATTTGAAAAAATGTCCATTTTCAATCAGCACACTTACTTATCTCAATATCCACGATGTCATTCTACTGAGAAGCCCTATAAATGTAAGGAATGTGGGAAAGCCTTTAGACGAGCTTCACACCTAACTCAACATCAGAGTATTCATACTGGGGAAAAGCCCTATGAATGCAAGCAATGTGGAAAGGCCTTTAGTCGTGACTCACAGCTCAGTCTTCATCAAAGACTTCATACTGGTGAGAAACCCTATGCATGCAAAGAATGTGGGAAGGCCTTTACTCAAAGCTCGCAACTTATTTTACACCACAGAATTCATACTGGTGAAAAACCATATAAATGTGAAGAATGTGGGAAAGCCTTTATTCGCAGTTCACAACTCACTCGACATCAGAAAGTCCATACTGGTGAGAAACCTTACGAATGTAAAGAATGTGGAAAGGCCTTTACTCAGAACTCACAACTAACTTTGCACCAGAGACTTCATACTGGTGAGAAGCTGTATGAATGTAAAGAATGTAGAAAGGTCTTCACTCAGCTCTCGCAACTTATTCTGCATAAGAGGATTCATACTGGTGAGAAACCCTATGAATGCAAGGAATGTGGGAAAGCTTTTATTTGTGGCTCACAGCTCTCTCAACATCAGAAAATTCATAATGGGGAAAAGCCATATGAATGTAAGGAATGTGGAAAGGCCTTTATCCGGGGCTCACTCCTTATGCAACATCAAAGGATTCACACTGGAGAAAAACCCTACAAATGTGAAGAATGTGGGAAAGCCTTTATCCGTGGCTCACAACTTACTCAACACCAGAGAATTCATACCAATGAAAAGCCATATGAGTGTAAGGAATGTGGGAAGACCTTCAGTCATGGCTCACAGCTTACTCAACATCAGAGAATTCACACTGGTGAGAAACCCTACAAATGTGAAGAATGTGGGAAAGCTTTTAACCGTGGCTCACTCCTTACTCGACATCAAAGGATTCATACTGGTGAGAAACCCTATGAGTGTAAAGAATGTGGAAAAAACTTTAGTCGTGGGTCAGAACTTACTCAACATGAGAGAATTCACACTGGTGAGAAACCCTATGAATGTAAGGAATGTGGGAAGTCTTTTATTCGTGGCTCACAGCTTACTCAGCATCAAAGAATTCATACTGGTGAAAAACCATACGAGTGTAAAGAATGTAGAATGGCCTTTACTCAAAGTTCACACCTTTCCCAACATCAAAGACTTCATACTGGTGAGAAACCGTATGTATGCAGTGAATGTGGAAAGGCATTTGCTCGTGGTTTACTACTTATACAACATCAAAGAATTCATACTGGTGAGAAACCATATCAGTGTAAGGAATGCGGGAAGGCCTTTATTCGTGGTTCTCAGCTTACTCAACATCAGCGAATTCATACTGGAGAAAAACCATATGAGTGCAAGGAATGTGGGAAGGCCTTCAGTCATGGCTCTCAACTTACTTTACATCAGAGAATCCATACTGGTGAGAAACCCTATGAATGCAAAGAATGTAGAAAGGCTTTTACCCAGAGTTCACATCTTTCCCGACATCAGAGGATACATACTGGTGAAAAACCATACCAATGTAAGGAGTGTGGGAAGTCCTTTACTCGTGGCTCACAATTAACTCAACACCAGAGAATTCACATCAGTGAAAAATCCTTTGAATATAAGGAATGTGGAATAGAATTTAATCATGGTGCACAAGTCTACATATGAATTATCTGATTCTTTGTTCACATTTTGTTCTTGTCATCCACTGAAAGCAAAGACTTCCTACAGATGTGAATATGGGCATGGGGCACATGTGAGAATTTTGATGGTATAATGAAAATATTAACTTAATTCAGATAGAAAAGCCTGTTGTTACTGGAAACCTACTACACTTTAGCAGATTTATAAAATAGAGAATTGCTAATGTAGTAAACACAGGAAGGCCTCTAGCCACAGCACAGGTCTTTTCCAAGACTATCTTGGCTCTGAGAATTCTGCTTTGATTTAACCAACTGTAAGCAGACCTAAGAATAAACAGCATCTTTCTCACTGTTCGTGGAAGTATTGTGTCTTATTATTTATAAGAACTCTTAGAATAGTGCATTGAAAGACTATCACAATCATGTATCAAAGCTATCATTTCTGTATTAGGAGGGTACACACTCAGAAAATATTTCATTAAATGTTTATCCCAGATTTGATTGTAGTGTACTGTGTGTTGTCATGAATATGAGAAAGCTTTAGTCAAATCTGATCCCTTATGTTGTCAGGAAATTCATACAGAACAAAAGCCCTATGTGTAAGTGGATTATTAAGCAGAACTGCTAAGGAAAAAATATATATATAAATGATATGTGACCTGTCAGAAAACCCCCAAATTTGTATTTTCCAACATCATTAACCACAATTCAATATTGTTTTGAATTGAAATTTTTAGCAAACATAGATATAGGAAGGACAGCATTATAGTACCAAAGCATGCACTGATACTTTAAATGCTGGCCTCCCCTAATGAAAAGCCAGTTCCACTTGTGATCCAGCTTCCTGCTTATGTCCCTGGAAAGAAAGACAGTAAAAGATGGCCCACATTCTTGGGCCCCTGACATCCATGTAGGAAATCAGCATGGAGCTTCTCTGACTTGGGCTTGCTCCAGAACTGGCTGTGTGGCCACTTAGTGAATGAGTGGATGCAGGATTTTTTTTCTCTGAGTGAGAGGAAGAGAGAGAGAGTGTGTGTGTGTGTTTGTTGCCAATAAAGGAATAAATAAATGTACTTTTAAACTAGCCCTGGAAAGTATTTTTTTAAATGAGAATTGTTTCTATGAAAAAAAATTAACAGGTGCAGATTTTGAATTACACAGAAAATCTAACATTACAGACTATTTTGTAATGAAAAATTATGAGTATTAAATTGTGAGTTTTTGTCAGAGACTACTCTTTCTCTACCCAATATTCAAATTTCCTTTTTTAGTAACAAATCCTAGAAGGAAAAACCATCAATTCATCCTAAAGGGCAACAAACTGAAGTGGCATTTCTTTGCATTAAGAGGACAGTGAAGATTCCCTTGCATCCAAAGCGTGGACATGTATGCCAGAGTTCCAACAGTGTCAGGCAGACATTGAAAATGGCATCTGGGAGTATAGACGGTGGAGAAGAACAGAATGGTTTTCTGGCTCTGAGGGCTTTTGAAAAAATGATACCAACTCTGATCAGTCTGCCCCCCTATATTTTGCTGATATAGTTTTAGTTCTCTTATTAACAACAAAATTTCTAAAGAACAACAGAAATGTGCCTAGGCCTGGAGCGTGTGGCCATAAGAATTCAAACATAATATTGATGTAAGGCCATACACAAGATGATCTATCCCTTTCAGCCTGAAAAAGGAAACATCCCTATTTCTACTGGCAAGGCATTTGGTGAGGCTGCATCCACTACCTTACATAATAAATGCGTGCCAACTGAGGCTGTAAGGTTGGAGGAAATGGTAGGAGGGTTTCAGGATCTACTTAGTGGTTTTTGCTGCTTTCTGTAATTTCCAAAATACATGACAGTAGAGCTAGCCAGGTCACTAATAAAAGGGAAAATGTAACTGCTTTGTTAAGAGGTGCTACCTTTGTTGCAGGTAATTAATCCTCTATCCCATGAACTGAGACCATTAAAATTTAAATGGCCGGCCTGCAGAAGAAATGATCCATTGCCTATCAAAGGAAGCTAATATGACAGAGTTCATGCTTTTCCCACCCATGTCTAGCCTACATTTAGGGAGGGCTCACTATAATCCAGCCATTCTGTTTGTTGTTTGGAATATATAAATTAACAATTATATTATTTAAGAGAAAATAATTAATGTGAAATACTAGGACAATAATACAGGGTAAAAGAGTAATTAAAGGAAAGTTGGTGGTGATGGGAATATGACTGTCCAGGTTGACACATGAAATGCAATGACTCAGAACATTAAGGAAGACATATCAAAGTCAAGATTTGTTCAAGTAAAGGAAAAAAATATATGGAGGCACAACCCTAAAACAAAAATTTCATGGTGTGTTTAAGGAGGATCAGGGGGCTGGCTCTATGATGTATCGGCTAAGGTAGTGTAGTGTAGTCATCACATATTGGCAGTTTTGACTTCAGCTTCTCTTATGAACCAGCTCCTGTTAATGGCCTGGGAATGCAGTGGAGGATGGCACAAGTGCTTGGGCCCCTGCACGGACACAGGAGACCCAGGGTGGCTCCTGTCTCAACTGGTCCTGACTTATCTGTTGCAGCCACATGGAGAGTGAGCCAGTGGATGGAAAATCCACTCTAACTCTGCCTATCAAACATATATTTTTTAAGTATTAAGAAAGCTATGAACAAGGAGGAGTTGCTAGTACAGGAAGTTAGATGCAAGAGAGGGCCATATCTTGAAAGGCCTAGTAAGCATTTTGGCTGTTCTTTTGAGGGAAATGGAAAGGCACTGGTGAGTTCTGAGCAGAAGACATGGTGTGCCAAGTAGCTACTGTAAGGAAAGAATGGCTATGTATTTTTTTTTAAAGTAACATAGGGGACTAAGGCAATGATAAATAGGAAAGATGATGGTTTAGGGTGGTAATGTTACATTAAGAAATATTATATCCTAAATACATGATACATGTATTGAAGAAAGCAGATATTCTTTAGTGGTTAGATGTTAGATGTGAAAAAAGTACAAAAGGAAACAGAGAGGCATTATCTTCAGTAAAAAGAAAGCTAGAAATTCATGAAACAAGATGAGGAAGCTGAAGGTCTAAAAATCCAGTGGGGAGAACTGGGAGTTCATTTTTAAACATACTAACCTAGAGAGATCTTACATATGAAATGGCAGTACTGTCCACAGCTGTGCATATACAATAGTTCTATGAGAGATGATACTTATTTGGTAGTACATACACTTATTTGCTTACATTTATCCAGAGTCATGAGACCATGGAATCACTGATTATAGTTCAAGAATAATGAAGCATTCAAACATTAATTACTTCAAGGAGAAAAACAGTAGATAATCAAGATGCCTATATACAGAAAACCAGCATTTGCTTCCTGCTTTCCCAAGAAAACTCAAAGCAGCTACATCTGGAAGTGCATACCTGAATAAGAGCGTCCGACAGAACAGTGGCTGTTGACACTGGGATATCAGGAACTGAGGCAGCAGAGAGAAAGGACAAACAAAAAACGCAAACCGGCCACCACCACCTGCCACCCTGAGGTTCAGCACAGGAAGCAGAGCCGCTCCCCTGACGAGCCACCCCAGAGAAATCCACACAGCCCAGCAGCTCAGTAAGGAGAGTTCCCTGGAAAACTCCGGCTCCTGACTTCAGAGAAGACACTCACAACAGAGCAGGAACTAGTCTGGTGAGCGTCTGTTGCAGTTAACACATGCTAGAAGACAGAAGCCCATGACCATTTTCTTCCCAGGGACCCCAAAGACATCCCTGTATGGTAACAGCTGACTGTGCCCCAGGGGTCCAACTGGACCCAACAACCAACTCTTGAGCCCAGAACCACCCGGTGAACAACAGCACAGTGGAAACATGGCAGCTGGCACCCAAAGCCCATAGGATGCTGGGATTAAAGGGATCTGCCATCAGAATCTGATATCCTCAGGTTCCCACTTCTCCCCTTTCCCCTAACCTCTTGAAAAACTGCAGATTGTGACTGGTTTGTATACCCCTGCCCGGCACCTATGAAGGCTCCAAGTTCCCAGTACACTGGGAATGGGGTGAAACTCCAATCCACAGAGCACCTGAGCCACGTGAGAGGCAGCCTAGGAGACGTCACAGCAGCCAGGTGAATGACATTAGCGGCCCACCGCTGAACTGGCTACCGTGCTCCGCTCAGCTGGTCATCCTTTCAACCATGTTTCTCGCCGTGATTACCAAGCTACAGTGAGGATACTTGTTAAATTGAGAAGGAAAGGAGTGGTGGATTTGATTTCTCTAGGTCTAAACCAAATTCCCTGATGATTGATGTGATTCTCCAGCCAGGTGGACTCTAAAGTCAGAGAAAACCATTCAATTAAAAACCACTAACAAAGCCAACAGACAAAATCCACATCTGGTCACAAAAGAACACCGATGGGCGGCATCTCCAGGACTAACTAGGATCACTGGGCTGGTTCCTCACCCATTTCACAAGCTCCATTTACAGGAGCTTCATCAAAGCCACTTTCCAAGCTACAGGCTCCCCTGCTCCAGCACACCACCTCCACCCCACGGAGGACGCAGCCCACGAGCGCCTGCAGTACCTTTCCCGGATGAACGGCGGATTTCCCATGCTGGAGGGTTACACACTGGGATCCCACAATGGTCCACTTATGTGTGCCCTCCTGAATCCCTAGGAACACTGCACCTTCACCTTGCATCACACCAGGACCTCAGCCTAAAGTGCTGTTGGGACACACAGGCAAGTAAGGAATCCACCCCGAATGACACAGGCAACCAGCCACAGGTAAAGCTTGTCCCTGTGACGTCAGTACTAAGCCTGAAGCAACACATGCACCTGGAGGGCCTGCTGTGGTTGCCAGGCAGCAACGAGTGCTCCATCTACCACGGTGAGATGAGCCGGCCCCGGCCTCGTCCTTGCAGCCTGGGTCACCTAGTGTCTCGGGATGTGAACTGACCACAGTGATTCCTCTGTGGAAACGGGATGGGGAGTTGGGGGAGCAGGTTGAGTGGCTGCTCTAAGGAAATCCCAAAAGAGGGCATATAGCCCACCCAGGAAGCAGAAACTGTTGAGTCTACAAGTGAAGGGGTCAAGTCACTGACCTTGGACCCAGGAGGTCTGAGAGGCACATTCAATCCCCAGGGACCCTGCCAGGTGGGCGAGACTGATTTGGGATCCCAGGAGAGCAGCCAGAGCCAGACTGGAACTCAGGGTCAAGATACAGTAATTCCCAGCCAGCCAGTGACGCTGGGTAGCAGAGCCAAGCAATCACGCTGTGGGAAGTGCGGACCATTCCTAGGACCAGCAGAGCTCTGCCGGAGGCCAGGTCCAGTTCTTGGGAACAATACAGAGAAGACAGAGAGGCCTCTCAGAGGAGCCCAAGCCCCCTCAGCTCGCATGGCTACCCGCCCCATCCATTCACCCAGCCTTACAGTCCTGTTCCTCACGAAACT